CATGAGTTTAGTTTGACGTTTTTAAAAAAAATCAAGTTTTAAGTTTATTTTTGCAAAAATCAGGTAGTATATTAAAACTCTGATTCTTAACCTAATTTATCAATTCCGTCCCCACCATTCCCCGTCGCCTCCCCTTCTCCCTCCTCACCATTTCTCTCCACTCTCTCTCTCCATTTTTCTCCACCGCCCACTGCCTCCACCTCCCCTTAAAAATATCCTTAAAAATTAATCAATATTGCAATTTTCTCTTTGGAAAGTGGAATTAGTGAATGAATCAATTTTTGATTTGGGACCCCGTAGCATTCAGACTTCAATTTTCTTTATTGGTTATGTTTCAGAAATCTTTAACATCGACAGATGTGCTCATATTGACGTACACGGATTAACCTGGCATCTTTTTACTGAAGCCATTTCCAGGTCGGCACAGTTGGAGGTGGAACTCAACTGGCTTCGCAGTCTGCTTGTCTCAACCTTCTTGGGATTGGTGGTGGCGCTGATTGTGCAAATTTTGGATCTTTGTTTTGCGGTGGTTGTGCAGTGATTTTGTTGGCGATGGTCGTGTTGGCAATGGTGGTTATGTGGATCTAATATTTTGGTGGTGGTTGGGATGTTGGCTGTGGTGGTGGCGGCGGTCGTGGGTGGGTGTCTGTGACCTAGAAATTGTGACTGTGACTCACTGTAATAGAGTTGTGTCCAGTAAAAGTTTTAATTTTTTTTCAATCTGTGACCTATAAAAAATTTTAATTTGTGGTTGAGAAATAACCAGTGACCATAAAATTCTTGATCTGTGACCAACAAAGTCAATTGTGACCTATAAATTTTTTGATTTGTGATCTCGAAATAATCTATGACCAATTAATTTGATAAGTTGTGACCTGAAATTAATTTTTAACTAATTAATAAGATATCTGTGACCAAATTACACAATTAAATATTTAATTAATTAATAAAAAGTAAAAACCTGATTTTTGCAATTTTAAAAAGTTAGCACCTGATTTCTGCAAATGTATGGACTCGTGAGCCTCACTCGCCCTGCTTTGAACAAGCTGAGCGAGGCCAAGGTAGTTTTACACGCAGTACAGGCCACCTCTTTACACGGCATTTCCTTCCAAATTTTTGGCAAATTCTTTTCCTTCTTCAATCAAGTTTAAGCTTTTCGAATGACATGTGTCAACCTCATTTGAGAGCAGAAAATGTAATTGATCAGTTTATGAAAATCCCTTTTGCCATACATTTGAAATAAAACAGCCTACAAATGAGAGGCATAGTAACGACTATAAATAAACTAAAGATTTTACGGAGGTGTTAAAAAGTATAAAGAAATTGAAAGCACGCTATTTTATCTAGAAAGAATGATAGAATGGAGTTTCCTGTTCTGACATTAACAAATCCTGCTAACCAATTTAGCCCCTGTTTTGAGCTCTATTATCCAAAAACTCATTTTTTTAACTCATTTTCAACCACACATTCACCCAATAAAATAATTTACACGTAAACCCAAAACTTTTCCTTACTTTGTAATCACATATTTCCCAAAAAGGAGCTCAAACAAGGGCGTAATACAATACCAAAATGGTGTAACATGAGAGCAATCACATACATTACCATTTTCTACTCCTTAGAGTCAAGAATTAATACAACAATTCTTTTAATTGAAAGTCGAAACATTAGCTCTCAGCAGCTAAGGGAAAAAAAAGTGTTCATATAAAACGTATATTTGAAAAGCTATTGGAGAAGTTTTAAAGAATCAGTATCTAAAGTAACAAGTTGCCATTTCTATTGAGAATTACTCATAGATACCTGTTAAAGCAATCTTTCTTTTTCACTTCCAGGAAAAGCATGCAAAGATATTAAATATTCCCTTTTCATAAAAGGTTCGCTTGGATCACAGCAATCACGAGCATCTGACAAATTGAATCCGAATACAGGATTAGCACGTTTTGCGGTTGATTTGAATCTGTAATTAGCAATATTCAGCTCTAACCTTTTCCTTTGACTATGCACGGAAAGTATAGGCCAATTTGGTGATTTTAGAGTCTATCTTAAGTCTCTTTGTGGTTGGATATCCATACTCTGAAAATGATGCATGAAACAAATTGTAAACGTATAATAAAAAGATAGTGGTGTCGAGCAATTTTGTCTTTTCGATTGTGTCACAGCAGTTCGGTGAGATGTGATTACCATCGAATCAACTTATCCAAAATTTTACCTATTAGTAAGAGAGAAGCTTATTTATTTGAGTGATGCTGGACATGTGGAATTTTCATAATTGAGTGTGAAACTTGACGCCAGCACTTTTTTATGCTTTGTACCATGTGCAACTACACAATCTAAAAGTTCAAGCCATTGGTGACGGAGGTATTTAATGAAAATAATTTGTATATTTTTATTCTAATATTTTCCATCAAGAAAAACCCTACGACATGCCTTGATGACTCAATAATGATCAATGCTTTCGTTTGATGTCCTATATTAGTCTAGCGTAAAGCTAAAGGATTTTATGCTAGGAAGTTAAGGTTCCCTTCAGGTTCTTCATGATGAAATACGTGTTCAAAGTATGACAAACTATAAAGTACTGTAATGAGACAGCAACGCTGAAGGGATAGGAGAATTCGTAAAACTGTTCTGTCTAATGAACTACAGAAAGAAAAATAATAATAATTTCAACCTGCTTTGGCATGCACAAATTTCCAGTGAATCCCTGGGATCATCGTGGCTCTGATTTTGGATCTTGCAATACAACTATACAAGTTTAGGTGGAAACGTCATCTTCTTCTGGGTAGAAATGTTGGAATTCCTTGTGTTAAAAGATGGCAAAGAATTTTTTTCTGAAAGCAAGAAGAAAGCTGCAGGAGTTGCAAAGAAAGACGCTTAATCATAGACACAACAGAAATTCTCTGCTAAATGCTAAAATTGTTGTAAACTTCTGGGGCATGTTTGGTGATCAACTTCTTTTTCTTCCTTATTCCAATCCAGTTTGATGCAGCCCACGTATGGAAATTATCAATTATTTTTTGGCTAAGAAAACCCTCAGACCAGATGCTAAGAATTAGTATTATATGGTAGTATTAGATTTTCCTTCAGTTAAGGTTTTATTTTTGGTAGTATTTTGATTACTATCTTAGATTATGATTCGAATTTCCTTATGGAGTAGAAGTATAGAAAGGGCCCTCGTGTCTTTAAAAAAGTGGGACTCAATGAAATGAAATACTGAGTGTTTTCAATTATGTGTCCGAATTCTCGGTATTTTGTGGGAATCAACGAGTTTTTGATGCCTAATTTTCTAGTGTTCATGAGTGAATCGTCATGGATTAAAAGGTTGTTCGCGAATTCCTTGTTATTACGCTTCTGTACTCTACCCTGCATCAAGTATTGTCAAATCCAGCCTTCAAAACCTGCCATTGAGAACATCTTTTACTGCTGCAAGTCCTGATGCAAGCTATATAAGGTAGTTCCAGGGAGATAAACTTGTCAGAACGAAGAAACTTCTGCTAAAAAAACTTTGTATTATGAAGGAATGATATTTATTTCTATGATATCATGAAATTGCTTACCTTAGCTTGCCATGTAGTTTGCTGCCTGCTACTTTTGATTCTCATGCACTTGTGGTATAAGGGGCCTGGCCAGGTAAGATTTCGAGCTTCAAGAATAAGCCAGTGCAGAAAATTGATCAGAGACAGCTTAGCACATGATATGTATCATGATCAACTGAGAGGTAAGAATCATGTTACCGTTAAGGGCAGGTACCTTATGATTTTCTGGTTTGTGGTGAACTAAAGAATACATTATGGGCATATTTGGTTGAGAGGATTGGATAGAACTAAGGGAGAAATAAATTAAAATCTTGAGTCTAATTTTATCTAGTACTACATTTCAAACATGCCTTATACATTGTCAGTGAGGACGGGATAATCTGCAGCCAGAGGACTAGATGCAATAAGTAGAATAACCATCTAAACCTCAGGATGCAGATTACCTGATTCTCACCCAATATCATTCATGGTTCAACAGAAATGAAGAGAAGAAAACAAGAACAGACTTATTAATTTCATGCATAAGAGGTTGGTTAATAAACCATATGCATGGGAGAGACGTATTTATAATGATAAAGCTGGCACATAAAATTCCTAAATTATAGGCTTGCATGCAGTAAAGAAGCTAGTAGTATAAAGCATTATAAAATGTTGTCATCTCTAATCATCGTAGTCGATTCTGTTCCCTGCTAACCAATGATTTGGCAAGAACCTTACTTTTCTCAGATAACTATATTTCTTCATTGACTGCTTTATCAGCAGGACCAGATCGCTCTCTGGCTCAAAATTCATGATATTTTGAGTAATGTAGAAATTCAGAAGGAAAATAACAAGATTGAGATGTCCCCTGTAAAACAGTATTCCAGAAGAAACAAGGACACTGTTATCAGGAGTGTCTTCTACCACTGAGCTAATAGACTATCGTATGAGCTTCCCACTGGGGTCCCTCTGTGCCAAAAGCGAGGAATAAATTGAGACTGACTCGAACAGGGTAGAATCTTTCATTGTTCTAGCTTATCATGGTACTTATTCAATTTTAATCTCCATGATGAACTCATACATTCAATTAGGAAAGGGTAAAGGCAACATTCGCATGTTGTAGTACATCAGATTTCATGATCTTCTTTAGCTTTTATACATTTTGCATAATATATTCCCTTGGTAATTGGAAGGCATAGAATTTAGCCCTAAACAACTAGTTTGGAGACTGAGTTTGAAGGGAATAGCATAAGAATGATTAGTTTCTTGAAATACAGAAAGACTAAGGACTGAGTTTATGAAGTCCAGAATAATCCGCGAAGTTTTTGATCTGACACGTCCAGAATCTTCTCAGACGCGAGTAAAAAGGGGATAAAACTGATAATGGTTACACTGCAAAATATCTCATTCACGAAAGACCAAATGACTATCAACCTGATGTTTATGCCAAGATTAGTGGCAACGTAGGCAACATCATGCCCATGTAAATGAGCAATGTATAGTTCATGTGGTCCTTTTCCTTTGGCTTTTTATCCAATACCAATCTTTTAGGGCACATATTTTAACTTATTGTTTTTTAAAATTGTTTTGTGCTGTTAAATCCACCTTCGATTACGAACTTTTTATCATCCCATCCAGAAACCTTTTTGGATACCTTCGTCTAAGAAACAATAGTAACCAGAGACATAATTTCTTTTCTTTTGAAAAGAAGTACAAAAAATCTCTCTGTGTAGTTATGAATTAAAGAACTTGAGCCCACAAGTGCTCGCTTTCACATGGAGTATGCACCCATAATTTCTCTCTGACAATTAATGAGTACTTTGTGAGAGAAATATGTTTGAAATTGATATAGACAAGAAGATGGAATATGCTACTTATCCTATGGCCACACCCGAATGAGCATATACATACATGGCTTGTTTCACAGGGTGAAACTCTCCAACGCTAAACAGAAGTAAATTGCTCTGCCTTCCAATTCGACTAGGGTGCAGACATACACACACGTTTTTTACAAGAGTTTTGCTGATTGTATATGGCCACCTGTCCCCCCGGTGCTTTACAGGGCCAGTTGGCCCTATATAAGTAGCACTCTCCTTTTGACAATAAGCATGATAAATGACCACCAAGGTTAGGGGTGCAGATATACGTTCACGTTTTTTACAAGAGTTTTGCTAATTGTACAGGGCCACCTGTCCCCATTGTGCTTTACAGGTAGTAGGCCCTATACAAATAGCACGCTCCTTTTGACAATAGGCATGATAAATTACCACCAAGAGTAGAGTATATTTCTCTTAGCTCCTAGTATATTGGGTTGGTTAAGTTTTCATTGAATGGAGGTTAAGTCTCACATTCGCGTCTCTAAAATTTTATATTTTATTTATTTGCTTGTATTAATAAATACTAAACCCACAAAATGGTTCGATTAAAACAATGGAGGAAAAAGTAATATTTTTTCTATTATCCTAGCTAGTAGTGTGTACCACTATCAATCTACTGGATTCTCCGGCAAAAACAGCATTCCGCAAAAAATATAACTCACGCTCCTTTGGGTTCTTTAAATTTTGTGAGTAATGGGTGAGCTTACACTTACTCCCGGCCTCTTTGATTGGTAGGCGGGCGGGTTTGAGAACTAGTAATCACTAAAAAGAGTACTCCTTCCTTGCCATTGAATGATCGAAGATCAAAAGTATGCAAAGATTGTATTCGCAGTGCCACAACAATTGAAAGCAAACATTCATTCATGCATGGCTGCCATTAATAACCACTTGAAATAACACTGTTATCTTCCTCGTGACTATTGCTCGTAAGGCTGACAAACCTCTCCTGTCATCGAATAATCATACAAAACCTTCTTCATTAAGCAATGCTTTTATAGTTTGGCATCTGATGCAACTTGGAACAAATAGAACACTCACACCAAACTCACTTAAAGAGGATGATTTTTATCAAATAAACCTTTCACATCGTTATGATTAAAGATAGAGTTGATGTGTCAGAAGTTCCCAAATTCCCTGGGAATATCTGATATTTTATTCCACCGTTGCTTGAGCCTGAAAGATGCCGATCGTGTTGTCGGTACACTAAAAACACAAACTAAAATAGATATGTAAGAAATAAATAGCAAATGCCACTACAAAATTTTATGATGATACAAATCATCAATGAATAGAATATCCCTAAAACTAGTAAACAAACGTATATTAGAAGTAATACAATTGAATTGAAACACGACGCTTAAAGTAGCCTATACATTGAAAAATAGATCACAGCAGCAACCACAAAATTTACCAGCATGGAATATGTTTTTGAAGTATCAAAGCAAGAAAAGCCAACCTTCACTACTTGCCTTTGTAATTTATCCAAACCTGATCCTTATTGCTTCCTGTCTAAAGCTGGAGACAGACAGGTTGTCGAAATGATAGAAGAAGGGAAGTAATATAACAGGAATTATGACTAGGAATTGATCGGCCAATGCGATAGGAGTTTCTTCAGCGTTTCATATGTCATGAAAACGATCCCTACACTTGGAACAACCTTATAGTATTCTGGCATGATCCCTCTATATAAACCACGTAGGCCTTCTGCACGGATTATGTGTCGAAATGTCCCAAGCAATCCAGTATTGTACACACGGGCTCGACCAGCAGCCCCTTCCAATTGCATTCTTCGCCTCACAAGATCCAAAGGAAAAGTTGCTGCAGGATTATTAAAGACATGGTTTAGCAAAACTCAATTGTAAGCCCAAATATTGATAAATAACTAATTGGCCACTAAATTTAATATTGCGATCATTAATTAGTAGATTCTAGTAAATTTCATTTTTCATTGTTAGGGACATTAACAAATGTCGTTAAATTTTTAACCCAATCATATTCAATCCTAGTATTCTCTATTTCTCCAAATGTGTCAATATTATCGAATTATACCCAAAACACAATGCCAGGTTATACAAGTGCTATCAAGTGAATAGCGAACAATCTTCTACATACAGGTACAATCAGATGAAATTAAAGTTCGTGAAAAGAGGAAAAGTGCAATGAAACAGAAGATAAAAATAGCAAACAAGCATATTGAATGCCAAAAATTACTGCACTAGTATCCAAGTAGCAATGAGACTAAATGGTAAATTCTAATAATAGTAAATTTCAGGCATCAGTGTCAAAAGGATGTTATCTTAAACGAGTTGTGCAGATGAAAAATTAAATGAATTTTAACAGTTCCAAACAGAGAAATTATTCACCCATAAAACGCATGACATATTGAATGTCAATAATAATAATAATAGAGCCACTCCTCTTCAACCTCTCTCTTCGAAAATGCCCCCGTCACCCATTAAAACTGGTAAATGTCTTTCTAGCTATAAAATAAACTCTCACCTGTTGATGAAGCAATCCCAGAAAGACTGCCGCAAGCAAGGCTGACCGCTACTGTAGAATCATTGGGCCTAATAAAGAAGCAACAAGTCATTCTCAAGAAGACAAAAGAAGGACGAACACATGACTGAGAACACTAATTACATCAGTGACTACATACCCACCTTTGAGAATGCCAGTAGGATCTCAAAGTCTCATAAACTGAAAAACTTATGGCTATACTGGGTCCAACACCCTGCAACATGCAGAGCATGTCAGATGTAAGAAATAGAAAACTCAATGAAACTTAGTGACAGAGAGAAAATGGAGAATTGATTTACTGAGTGTATATTTCTTAATTAATTGAATTCA